CCACAAAACCCCAAAACCCCAAAACCCCAAAACCCCAAAACCCCTTTATTCTGGATCTTGTTGAAAAATTAGACGATTGATATGCCAGCCTAACTGGTGGCAAGTATTTCTTTTAAAAACTGAAATAAGAGAAGTTAGCTCTCTTGTTATCCTTTGCTACCTCCAACCAGATCTCATTACCCACTCTCTTTGTCATCTTACAGCAAGTATATGGAGGAATTAAGGTTTCTTTTTGATGATGATAGTCTTTACATCCATATTTTCCAATTTTTGCTGCGTTAAAACACCCTTTAGGAATTTGGAAATGAATTAGACTCTTCTTTTTAATCTTTGGGTTATCCCATCCCCCAAACTGTTTTGCAATTGACTCTCTTTCAGAAGTGCATTGGAAGTTCATAACTCTAAAGACTTGGCCAACTTCGATATTTTTAAACAAAACTGCACGAACACCTCTATGAGTAATTCTGTTTTGTGTGTTATCTTTAGTTGCAACTTTGACAATAAAGTAATTCACCATCCTAATAAATCTAATAGAATATTTTAAGATCGTTGTAAACTTGTGTTCATATTTATCTTGCAGTGTCTTTTTCAGAAATTTTGTGTTTTCATCCATCAAATCAAAAGTCTTCTGACCATCAAGAATCAGTGAGAAGTTTATTGGAAGAGTTATTTTAGACCATTGAGTCCAAATATGCATGATTGCGGTCAGAGGATCTTCCTTATATCTTTCTATAAACTGCTTCATTCTTGGATGAGTGCTTGATGGCATAACTTTGCTCAGAAATTTTACCACTTCATCGAGCTCACAGACCCTTGGAGTCTCGACATATAATTTCATGAATTTCGTTTCATAAAATCTCTTTTGAAAGTCTTCTTCTGAGACCTCGATTGTGAGTTTTTCGAGCAATCTTTCCATGTCCAGATCTTCTTGACTTGTAAACCTTTCTCAAACATCGACTTGTTTCTTGGATGTATTTGGCAATGCAAATAATTTAGAACATTTGACTCTCTCGATTTTTACTTCTTCCTCATCCTGCTTTACTTTCATGTATTTTCTCTTGACATTGGCTGCAGATCTAGTTTTATCTGCAGTTTTAGCTCTCTGTTTGGCTCTAGCTCTTTCTTTCCTTTTCTTCTTAGCTATATCTTCCAGAATTTCATTAATATCTCTCTTAGTATTAGGTACGACCATCTGCTCTAGAATATTCTTCTTCATCAAAATTCCTTCCTTAGACATAACTTTCCTCTCTTCCGGAACCTTTAAGCCAAAATTGCCTTCTAGGAACGGACCTTTATAAAATTCTGATACTGGAGGTCTAGCTTTAGTCCTTTCTTCTGTCTTCCCTCTCTGCTTATTAGACACTTTCTTCCTTCTATTCCTCATCAAAACCAGCCCATCCGACTTCCTCTTCATATGTACTCCTCACACCTGCATGATTTTGTTTATCCCCCTTCTAAAATATATTTAACTTAATCTCAACTCCTATCCCTTAAAATGGGGTTTTGGGGTTTTGGGGTTTTGGGG